CACACACACACACACACACACCCTCTCGACAATATGCGTTTTTGCTGGCTGTAGCAGCTATAGCGCTGCTATAGAGCTGCACGGCAAAAACGCATAAAAATGGGTTAGTTGAAGGGTGGAGGTATTACTGTTTACTTCTGAATATGTCTTATATGCAAGCTTGGCTAAATATCGTGTTCCTGATATCAACACTAAGATATTCCCGCTGTATGTGTGTTTAGAAATGTGCGTTTTGGGTAAAAACTATTCTCATATAAAAAAGCACGCTACAAGTAGCAGAATAGAGAAACCATTCAGAGCTTATCGTTATAGCTACAAATAGCAACCTTTATCCCATGCGATATAAGGAATTTTCAACTGTTGTAGATGGGCATTGCGGCAAATGGTTCGGGGTTTCATCCCTCAGCTGCAAACATAGGCAGAATAGTTAATGTTTTTAGGAGCAAGAATCATCAGTACAGCCTTCCACCCATCACTTATCAGCTCTTGAAAAGTCAAAATTTGTTCGCAATCTTCCAGAGGCGTTTCGAACAATTCAGGGCGACAAAATCTCGAGCAATATAGAGTGGATGAAGTGATGTGCCCGGTTTTGCACACAAAATGGATTTGGCTCCCTCAGTTGAAATCTATATCTTTTCAGCCATTAGCCCGAATAAAACACCTTTTGTCTTGTCTCTTCTTAGCTTTAGCAGCTTAAATCAAATTAAAACCCATATTTGCTCATAAAATGATGCCCTTAAGTGCATTTGTATTTAACCTTTTTGAATAAATCCTTTGTTTGACACATCTGATTAAATTTTCCATCACTTCATTCGTTTTGTTTTGCGATTTCATGCATTTCTGTGTGTTTTACGCTGTAACGGTAGCACAAAACGTATATTGTCAAGCCGAGACTCTCACCTGTGTGTGTGTTTGTGCATGTGCTTGTGAGGGCATATTTGGATTTTTTGTTATACGTTTTTTCTCATCAAACGCTACAAAGCAATATTTCATGTGACGATTGTAGAGCAATGAAAAGACAACGGTAACTCGGCACAGTCACTGCGGCTTGTAAACATTGTTGAAACATCAAAAGATTTAAAAAGATATTACATGTACGTGGACAATACGTTTTCACTAAGTCCAGGAATCGTGGATGAGAGGATAATATGATCTATAGTCGAACCAAACGTTGGCTTGAATCATTCGAGTCGCAGCGCGAGCACGTCTTCACACAGCCCGGCCAAACAGTTGCATTGCACTGTGTTCCACTACAATCCCTATTTTTATCTTTGCAGCAGCTACCTACGCCACATGAGCCTTTGCAATTGGTCTCCATTTGCTTACGAGTTCTTGAGTTACCGCAAAATCCCAACGCTGCATATCTGGAGCAGTTATTGTGGCTGTCCTCGCACTGATCTGAAATAATTTTCATGCGAAAATTTATTCCCTCAACAGAGTGTCAAATGAATTAGTTTCCTGGCTACTGAACGATCCATCAGTTAGCGTGGCATCTGTCTTCTCAGGCAACGTTGAGGAAAGAAACCAGACGAACAATGAGCAGTTGATTTATTAAAAAAACAAAAATACTTGTTCTACATTCTCTATAATCCTACCTTGTATTTTCTTTTTTTTCTGTTTCGTTTTTTCTTTTTCGCTTCTTCGACACTAAAACCCATTCTTCATCCTGATCTCGAAAATAAACAAATAAATTTATTCTCTAAATGACTGGCCAGAAACTGTGCTGATGATTCCCGCTTCTATCACATCAATTACCTTGCCTGCTTTAACAGCTAGGGGATGAAACAGACTGCTCATCGGAATGTTCTTTATAACTATAACGTAAATTCCTTATATATCATGGCATGAAGGTCAAGAATTGGCCTTTTTTAATTATAAGGAAGTCCTGAGCTCATTGAGCGTAATCGGTTTTGTATCATAGCGTTTCAAAATACTGATTTTTCGGTGCTGAAGCTCAGTGTTGAGTGCATTTTTTCAATAAAAGTCACCATAATAGAAGAGGTTCAGAATCTGGGAATATTGGTTGGAGGATGGACTAGAGTAACAAGAAGGACATTGGAGAAAAATAAATAGCCCGTCAAAGAAAAGTGATAGATTTGGTCGGCAATATTTTTGAAGCAAAGTGATTTAACACATCGAAGTGCTAAACTGCACGAGTTACGGTATTTGGAACTTCGAAAACGCAGTTGTAATTCAACATGAAGAAGATTACCAACGCAAATAAGGGCAGGAATTTAGCGATTTACGGGAAAAAAAGTGCAAGTGTAGCACGGCCATGCAGGTAGTGCTAAAAGATACCCGCGTTATTTTTTTTGGTTAGTGTTTTTCTTTAACTAAATTTGCATTACCTTCGTTACTTGCATCTGCATTTCCATTTTCAGCAGTCACCAGCACAAGCAGCAAGCAGAAGTATATCACCATCATTCTTTCACACGTTACTGCTAAGAAAATACCTTGAAAACGCTTATAAAGATGAAGACTTAAAAAACGAAAAAAAAAACGATACATTTTTTGTTTCTTTAAACTTTTGTAAGAATTTTGCCTCTTCCATGCATAAACATGAAAAACCACAAAATAAAGCTGTTTTGCTCATATGTTTTCGTAAAGTTGTCAGCTGCTTATCCCGATTTCAAACACAACAATATGCTTTTCTGCTCACTGTAGCAGCGGTGTAGCCCATCACAGCAACATAAGAATCCTTGGAAAAGATCTTCCTCATAACCGCGCATCATGTATTCGCAAAATGTCGGTACAGCAGAAAAGTGCTCTTTCCCGTAATTTCTCATTTTACTGACGAAGTGGTAATGACAATTAATATTGTCAAAAATGCCAGGGCAGTTAGTGCTAGTATTCCATGTTAGTGATAACCGGGATACTCTCGCATGTTACGTGTAGCTCCATCAAACCCTTCTATCTTGGGCTTCTTGCCTTCAGGTAGTACCACTGCTTGTTCAATATACATGCACCACCTCTTAGGGAGCTATCACTGTCCTAATTGCTGAGTGTGATCATGAAAAGATACTTTAAGTTTTTCTTAATTCAGTGTTCTCCTTCGTCATATTCCCATAGTCTTTTTTTTTGTTTTGCATCCATTTGTCGCTAACTCCAACACATCAGATTTTTAGAGATTTGAACGCAAGCCTCCGAATTCAGCAGCATTTGGAGACACTCCAGAACATTAATGATGCATTGAATAATCGATGTAATGTGCTCTCGTAATTTTTATCGAAAAACACATGGTGCATGACCTACCGACAACCGTAAAAGTTGTTTGTTAATAAAAAGCATCAATATATAAAAAATTTGCGATTTCGTGAAGCCTAAAAGCTGAAAATTCTAATTGGTGATACCAATGGAGCACAAACAGAGCAGGGCAAAGGAAGTTGAATGTGGCGTTTCTGTTGCGCTGTTGAATGCCCTGGCACCTAAGAATTTACGCTTTCAATCACAGTTAGATTATAATGCATTTGTTCGAAGCGTTGAAGTAATCCAAACGCGAAGATACGAGGATGGACTGCTGAATTTGCTAGACTGGCTGAAATATGAATGACAAAATTGAGAACGCAGAAAACTTGCTTCACATCGATTTATAAAGAAGAATATTTTTTTAGCTGATCAAAGTATAAGAGCAAGCATTCATCTCTTTGCACACCTGCTCCATCCAGTTTGAGTTAGATGCAAAACAGAGCAAAATTTTTGAGAAGTTAATATCTGCTGTAGTGATGGCATACCAAGCAGTCCAAAAGATTTTTCTTGAATAAATCGAACCATATTTGTAAGAAAAGAAAAGGAATATTTCATATAATTTGATGCCAAGATTGGTTTCCCGGGTTTCTATACTTTAACGGCCCGTAAATTGCAGCTTGACATTCAAGTGCAAAATCTTTGCGGTATTTCCCCAAGGACAGGAGAAGTGCTGAACAATAGCCCGGATACTTCAGCCTGGTCTGCATTGTCCTCGATTTTATAGACATTGATCTCGAGGATATTTTGTATACGATAAATCGGTGATAGGTTAGGCACAAAGCCCGAAAATTCATTCCGTATATGTTTTATCTCTTAGCTGTAAACACAGAGAGAGCAACCTGTCTTGGAGGGGTAGGAAACATTAGTACACTCTACCTACCATTTATACCCAAGGTGTGCGAAAATAACAGTAGAAAGAGCAATCGCACGCCTAGCTGATCCAGTAATTCTAATGTTCGGTGTGGTGTGGATGCGGAAAATACAGAATCATGCTGATGGAAAAGCTACCTGTTACATAGAGGTTCGCCAGCAATCTCTTCAAGACAGAAAGAAATGTTAGGACAGTCTCAGATGATCCAGAATTGGTCAAAACAAACATGAAATCAAGAAAATGGCCTGTCTGACCGCTACATCATCACTGATGACTAGTGATGAAATTTCGAAGATTTTTGGAGTTGGGGTATTTTGTCGACAAAGAACACAATATTTGCACGCATTCTGTTAACAAAATCAATTGGCTGGCCCGTATGTGTGATCTTATCGAATACGGCCGTTGACGGGGTAACCGTGGTCGCTGTACGTCTGATTTGGCTCTACACAGACGTTTCCCCAGCCGCAGCATACGCCCAGCAATCGCTCTCATCCACTGCTAATCTGAAAATATCAAAAATACCAATAGTTCTGTGGCAACAGGTGCAGATCCGGGGAGATTCAGGAACAATTCAAAAATCATTGGCGACGCGCACAGGGCGGGCTCGTACTATTATGCATTTTTGCAGTGTTTCGTGCAGTAATAAGATCAATCGAAATTCCGCTAGCTATAAAACCTCTGATCTTAGAATTTCGGGAAGTTAATTGCTCAAACTATACTTGGACAGGGAACATGCCCTTGACATCCCAGGTTCCCAGCTTTCTCAGTTTCCGAGTTACCCAAATTACAGCCAGAAAATTTCATCGGGCCATACATGGCAACCACGCATAAAAGGAGGCTGAATTTGATAAATTTAAGTTGTACGTGAGTTGGGAGCATTTCCTGAAAGTTTCAGCCTCCCAGCTTCCCTGGTTCCGGAGTTAGCCATTTTTCTGCCAAAAATTTTCACGGGCCCGTACGCGACAACCACGCATAATTGGGAGGCTGATTTTGACAAATTTAAGTTGTAGATGAACTGGGAGCATTTGCTGAAAGTTTCAGCCCCCTAGCTTTCTTGGCTCCCAATTTAGCGATTTTCGCGTCAGGAACCCTCCGTACGCGGGAAGCACGCATACCTGGGGGCTGAATTTAAAATCTTTGAGTTCTATATGGATGGGGAACATAATCCCAAAATTTCAGCTTTCTGGCTTTTTTGGTTCTTAAGTTAGCGATTTTCCCGCCAAAACTTTGAGGCGCTCGTACGCGGGGCCTAGACGTGCTTGAGGA